GGTGTTTGTGACTCCATTAAAGGTGCAACATTTGAGGCACTAAGCTTTAAAGAGTCAAGATCAAGGAAGTTTGTGATTGTTATTGCTACATAACAATCAAGGTAAGATCCAAACCTTTTCATTATGATGATATCGATTATTATATGTTAGATATAGGATTTATGACTTTGGATGATTATTGCATGTTCATTAGACAAACTAGATCCAAAGCTTTAGGGTTTGCATGTACACCATAGGACTGATGTAGTGCTTAAAACCCATCATATTTATGTTGATATACCTTTGATATGTGTTTGGAAGATGCAGTATGCCATGGATTAATTATAATAATGGTTCACAAGCATAATTACATAATGATATTGGTGAGGTGTGTGTTTTGCCCATGTGAGAGGGAATTAATTAATTATCTAATTGAATGAATAAAAAAGGGGAAATACACATAACAGGGTTAAAAAGGGTAGTAACCTAACTTATGTACGTGTCCCAACGGGATATCATGGTGGAAAGATATCGTTGGAGGAAAAGAGCTCAAGCCAAGGCGACGTCGAATGGTTTTCTAATTGACCATTTTGTGGCATGGTTCCGGCGGACAATGTGTACGAAACTGGAGTGATGTTGGCTACTCGGGGACATCGGATCAAACATCACGCTTGGATGGGGGAAGCATTTCAAAGTACCCTTAAACCACCCTAGAATGACAACGCATTGTCTTTGTACGTGCAAAGTCGGAGTAGCGAAGACGGAGAACCAGTAATAGCGTTACGGGTGAGAGTCGTGCCCTATTTGGTGCACTAGGTCGCCGGGTCACGTTATTAGTGAACGGGGTCTTTATGTGGGGATGTGTTAACGATGCAATAGACCCTAGTTTAGCGAGGGACATTAATAGTAATTATAGCGAAGCAAATAAATAAATAATTACTACGATGAAAGAATGTCTGGATTAATGTATACACGTATATATTAATAATTATCGATGAATATTGCATGGATTGATGTGTTGCATTACTTGACATGATATATGTGTAATTTTTCCCCATGCTTATGTGTTTGTGATTGACTCATTGTACTGAAGCTGACCCTTGTCTCTTGTTTGTTGTTGTGGCCTTTGCATTTGGTACATGTATCTTGATATTGATGGCATGGCGAGGTTGGGATCTCATGGCTAGATATAATATTTTGATTAGTAGTGATGATACCATTTTGATACTTCTTGTGGTGTTTCATTTACATTTGGTTTTGACACTTGTTATGGTTTGGTTTTACAACTATGGAATTTGATGGGCTTGTTTTAGAAATCGAGTAACACTGGTGATGTTTTCATACAATTTAAAAATAAGTCTTCTGCTAACGTTTTCTGATTAAATTTTTTTAATAATAAATGAATTTTTTGGGTGAAATTCACGGTGTTACAATCGTCATCACGACTACTACAACTTTTGTTAAAATTATTTATCATAAATAATCTTTTGTTTTTAAACTTTATTTTATCATTTCAATGATAAATTTTATAATAAGATTTTTTACAAATATTATATACTTATAATATGTGTTCACATGACGTGCATATATTAAATATATATTTATATAGCCCGTATAACGAATAATTATCTTATCGATGATTTTAATTATTCAATAAAATGAATAATTATAACTAAAATCTGTTAAACATCTAGCCCTAACTTACGTGCGTTACACCCCATCACATCAAGATCTCATTAGGAGTAAACCCTAGCCTCTATTTCACCACTTTGAGCCTCTTCTCTCCCTTCTCATCTATTTTGTGTGATTTTGGTGACTTTTAGATTGGAGTTTCTTACAAGATTGAGTATTGGAGCTTTGCATAAGAAGATCTCAACTTTCATCCACCTTTTGGACCTCTATAAGTTGCAAAGATCTTTGCTTTAATATATTTCACCTTGGGATTTATGAGATTATGAGGTTTTAGTCCATATTTTGGTGTTTTGGTCCCTTTAATGGTTTGATCTTGGGAGTTTGGACAACTCCATGATGTTAGATTCATAGTGGACTTCAGTTCTAACATTTTGGTCGAGTTTAGAGAGCATGCATAAGCTCTCTTAACTCCATGCTTGAAGAGAAGTGAGTGTTGGGACATTTGATGGACTTAGGCTTTTAGATCCTGGCTTAATGGAGTGTTCTAATGGATAAAGTTGGAAATTTTATCCATTAAGACCTTTAAAAAAATCCAATCCGAGCTTTTGAGTTCTGGAGGTTAAGGGGTTAAGGGTTTATCCATTAAGCTGTTTTGGACACTGACCACGACGTGTGAGTGGTCATGGCGCGTTGGCGGGGTTTTCCCGCGTCTGTTTTGTTATTTAGTTACCACACCACGACTATGGGGTTGGCTACAACGTGATGGGTCAACCGTTAACTTTTTGACCAATTTGGCTTTTGGTCAAACTTAGGTAGAATTGAGTATTTGGATAATTACTAGTTCCAATTTGGCTTTAGGTAACTTGTGTTAGTTGTTTTCGTTGATGAGGTAGCTGTTGAGATTCTATTGTTTAGTTCAAGTGAGTTTTTCACTGTATTACGTATGTCATAGTTACGATAGCTGGGCTGCGTATATAGCTGTGTTGTTAGTATCTTGATTGTTGCTGTATGATTATTTGTTATATTTAAGTCATTTCAGACTCAGGGTTGATACAGACCTGGGGTTGATGCAGACTCGTTGCTATATTTGAGTCATTTTAGACCCGGGGTTGATACGAACCAGTGGTTGATGCGGACCCGTTGCTATATTTGAGTCATTTCGGACTCACGGTTGATACGGACCCGAGGTTGATGTGGACTCGTTGCTGTTATATATGCTGTGTTGCGTTGTATGTGATATTTTTGGACTCACTAAGCTTTTGTTTACAGTTGTGGATTAAACATTTTTGCAGACACTTCAGATGATTGTGAGAAGACGAAGACGTGACTGTACACACACATCAACAATTTTATGATTTGAGATTCGATGATACTTTCGTTATAACTCTGATTTATGGATTTTAGTTTATAAACAAATGGTTTTAACTTAAATGTACATTTATAAAAATGAGTGTTTATGTTAGTTTAAAAATAAAAAATTTATTTTGAAAAATGAAATGTTACAAATGAATTTAGAGAATAGGTTGTGATTTTTGAATGAAACATCTCTTTATATATATAAAAAAATGAACATTTGAAAGGAAAAAAGAATTTGGTAAATGACTTGTGTTAAAGATTTGTTGCTTATTTTGATTTTTTTTGTTTTTCTTTTGCAAAAATTATATTTTATCATGTCTTGTTAATTTTTAAAATTCTCTTTTCATAGAATAAATAATCATTTAAGAAATATATAGAAAAAAACGACCAAATCATTGTAAAATCTGTCCATTCTCAAGTCATTTTCATGATTATCCCATTTTTCAAAATAATTACTTATCGAGGTTAAGCTCCGGTCAGTTATTTACTTTTACCAAGGGAAAAAAAGAATGTGATGCAGGAATTTGTCCATGGACCCCCACGCAGTGTATCATTCCGTCGGGTCCTCCCCCTCCCCGCTGATTTATTTTGGAGTCGTCGGATCATTTAATGCTCCTTGATTTCGTACCTAGGATACATTCCTAAATCTGACGGACATGTCCGGATCAGAGCCGTCCACGTGGCGTAAGGAACATGCCTATTACTGGTAACCCAAATCGTAGGTTCTACCAGAAGAATCTGGCTGGCTAATCTTCTGTGGGTTAAAATTGGAAATATAAGATTCTAAAAAGTAAATCTTGTTTTTACTTTTTAATTACCTTTTAGCCCCCTTAAGTATGAGCAAACTGCTTTATGGTCCCAACACATTTTTGTTTAATGTGTGTGTGATTGCGGGGGGATTTTGGGAAAACATTTGAAAACAAAACTAAATACCTTTTAAATAAGCTACCAATAATCTAAGTTAACTTAACGTATACATTAATGATGCTTTTGTAGTTTTGTCATCTTTATATCCTTTCTCTCTAACTTGAAACATAAAATATATATTAAATATAATAATTCATTTTGGCATTTTTACAAGAGGGGACACAAGAAAGCATTAACTTCTATTTTGTTTTATTTTTCTTGTTTATTTTAGCTTATTCTGTTTTTGTCTTTAAACTTGAGAATAAACGTTAACCACCTACTGAAATTACTTTTATAAACAATCAATTTACATGCTAAATATATTTTAAAAGGCATACAAATGATTTAGATATTTGATTAAAATAAGAAATTCTATGAAATACTATCGAAGTAATATAACTTTAGTATCAATTATTATAAAACAAAAAATAGAAGTTTGAATAATTATCCAAAATTATAATATGACATTTTGATGGAATCAAGATAAAAAGCATTGCATTTTTTAGGATATAAAAAGTATTAAAGATGACATCAATTTATTTTTTGTTTTTTATTTTATTTTATTTTATTTTTTGTCTATATTGTCTTCATTAATGACCATTCATGATGACACACTCATAACAACTTCACTTATAACTCATAGAAATGTGTTGTGAAAGTGATTTATGACCTCAAAAACCAAAACAAAATAATCGATTGTTATAAAATCATCGTAAGAAATATATTTTTTAAATGTTTCGGCCATAAAGAATATATTTGTGAAAAAACGGCACATAGTGAATGTAATTAATATATCACAAATTTGGTTAAAAGAAAGGGTAAAGAGGTAACTTAATTTTACCATTTTATAGCCAATTTAGTTACATTTGGTATGAACTTGAATAACTAAAAACGTTTATTTAACCACTAAACAATTTGATTATCAAAACATATACAAACATCCCTTATTTGTCTGGGCTAATGTTAAGGCATAAAAAAGGAATAGTTATTTTAAAGTATTGAAGGGTTTCAAAGTGATGTTAAATCTATACGAGGGGTGTATTGGGTAAGTTTTTTCATAGAATAGGGCAAAAAATGCAAATAAACAAGTTCAAAAGGGAGGGGGACATGGGTGACAAATAAGCAAAGGGGAAACAAGCAGCTGGAAAACCTTCGTAAGGAGAAAAAAGTTAGTTGGGTGTGAGAAAGAAGAAAACCTATACATACAACATATACATACAAAATCAATCTCTGTGTGCTCTTCCGCAGCGAAGATTTGTTCTTCAATCGAGAAAGATCCCGGCTCATACTTTCAATCCTTCTCGTGAATTTATATTAGTATATGTAAAAAGACGTTTACCCCAGCTTTGCAGATTGTGATCCCACGCTTATGTTCTAGGGTTTCGGTATGTTCTTTATATTAATAAACTTTCTATTGAACCAAAAGTCGTCTGATTCAATCGATGCAATTGTGTTTAAAGAATAGAGACGTGCTGGTGTTTGTTTGGGACCAGTTTGAGATCTGAGTGGTTTGTTGCTTGCATTGTTGAAATTTGTCGGTGTAACTTTTTCTTCAATGCAATAATCTTCACTGTAATCAAATTAGTTTTTGCTACATTAACTACGCTTAGTTTTCAGATTTCTTGAGTCGATAATTTCTTGTATGGTTGCATATGCATCGCTAAATCTGCAAAACCGACAATTCTAAGAACAACAGATAGCTTTGAAGTCACGGCATTTCGGAATTTTATGAAATTATGAAATGGATCAGGGATTAGATTCTTATTGCTGTTATGCTTGGTTTTTCTTCTTCTTGTCTACTGCTCAGATATACAAGAAATTCTAGATCTGCATCGTTTCTTCATTCCTTTTTGTTCTTACAGAAGATACATGGCTTGTGATGGTTGCCTTCATTAAAGTCTTCTGCTGCTGAGTTTCTACCTTCTGTACCTGGCAAAAATGTCAGGTAAGTTTCACGTTTTATTGCCGGGTAACATTAATTATTCACTTAGTCAGAAGCCCTTTTTTGTTTTACAAACAGAAAGTGTAATCTTTCTTTATAATTTTCTTCTATTAGGCCTAGAAGGAGCTGATGCTTTTGATGACATTAAAGAAAGGAGGATGGATTTCGAAAATTCTGAAGACGAGAGACGAAGATCTAAAATTGGAGCTTTAAGGAAGAAAGCAATAAATGCTTCAAACAAATTCACCCATTCACTTAAGAAAAGGGGAAAGAGAAAAGTTGATTACAGAGTTCCTTCGGTATCAATAGAAGATGTACGTGATGCAAGTGAAGAGAGAGCTGTCCATGAACTCCGACAAAAGCTCCTTGACAAAGATTTACTCCCAGAAAGACATGATGATTATCATACCCTTCTGAGGTTAGTAATTTCTTTCAGTTTCTTAAAAGATCTGTTAAAAAATGTTAAAACTTATTTGTTTATTTTCATACAGGTTCTTGAAAGCAAGAGATTTTAACATGGATAGAACAATCCGGATGTGGGCAGAAATGCTACAATGGCGAAAAGAGTATGGAACAGATACAATATTGGAGGATTTTGTATATGAAGAACTCGAAGAAGTATTACAATATTACCCTCATGGGTACCATGGAGTTGATAGAGAAGGAAGACCTGTTTATATTGAAAGACTTGGCAAAGCACACCCCAGTAGACTCATGCGCATTACTTCTATTGACAGATACCTAAAATACCATGTTCAAGAATTTGAAAGGGCTTTTATTGAAAAGTTTCCCGCTTGTTCAGTTGCAGCAAAAAGACAAATTTGTTCCACTACAACAATTCTTGATGTACAAGGCTTGGTATGTGATATATAAACTGTTTAAAATTTTTATGTTTTCTACATTGACAACCAATTTTTATATAATATATGCAGGGATTGAAGAATTTCACTCCAAGTGCTGCAAGTATTCTTGGAGCCATGGCCAAGGTTGACAATAACTATTACCCAGAGGTAAATAAAATTAAATCACTCCTTCCTTTAAATTGAAATCGGTAAATTGCAGGAAATAGCAACGTACTTTACTCTTTTCACCAATACAGCCAATGTACTTTTAACTTATATATTTTTTTTTTATTGATAATAGCAATATGTAAAAATAAAGTACAATTGCTATTATTGGTAAATAAATTTAATCTGTTATGTGTAAAAAAATAAAGTAAGTTGCTGTGAGCTGCAATTTTCCCAATTATAAATACCAATGGATTTACAAAATTAATGGCAGACTTTACACCGTATGTTTGTGGTCAACGCTGGGTCAACTTTCAAGAAGTATTTATGGCCTGCTGCTCAAAAGTTTCTAGATGCAAAAACAATCTCAAAAATTCATGTGTTGGAGCCTAAATCATTGGGGAAATTACTTGAAGTCATTGATCCAAGGTTTGTGTTGTTTCATAATCTGTCCTTGTTTTATTAGGGAAAATTACATTTTCTTTAGTAATAATAGCAATGTACTTTGTTTTTTTTACCCATAAGTGAATTGCTATTATGGGAAAAAAGTAAAGTATATTGCCTATATTGAATCATCTGATTCTTTCCTATTGATGCAGTCAATTACCTGATTTCCTTGGTGGTTCTTGTACCTGTCCTGGTGAGTTTGGTTGCCTTAGGTCAAACATGGGTCCATGGAGCGACCCGGAAATAATGAAGGTATATAAAACATTTTCAGTTGTTTATATTTATATATAAATAACAACTTTCTAATTATTTTATTTTTCTTCACAGGTTGTGAATAATACAGAAGCCACATTTGTAAGACAAATCACAAGAGTTTCTGGTGATGAACAGAAACTTGATTCTTCTATGCCCCCAAAAGGCAAGTATATTTATTATATACTATTGACAAATTTTGACATTTTAGAATTATGATTTTGACTTTTTTTTTTTTTTTTTTTTTTTAAATTTATACAGGTGATGTCATCTGATTCTTCTTCAGTCTACTATAACTGTGATGATCAATTTAGTGTCACGGATCAAGAAGTTGAGATAGAAAACAATCATGAAACAGCTTCTGATGATTTTATATTAATGGAGATTGTGAAGAGGGGATTTAATTACATAGGAAGACCACTGGTGTCATTGGTGGAAAAACTGATTGTTCTAATTACCATTCTACCATTTGACTTTTTGAAAAGACAGAAGAATGTTTATCCTACTAACACAGTGGAAGATGAACCACAAGAGAGTGTGAATCCGTTTGTTGAGAGACTTGAGAAGCTTGAAGGGCTACTTGAAGAACTTAAAAGGAAACCGGCTCGGATACCTGTTGAAAAAGAGAATATGTTGTATGATTCGTTGGAGAGGATTAAATTAGTCGAATTTGATCTTAATAAAACCAAAAGTGTAAGCCTATTTAAAATGTTTTTAATCATGGAATTATTATTATTATTAAAAATTAAGATTTTGGAGTAATGATCTTGTGCCTTGCAGGTACTTCATGCTACAGTGGTGAAGCAACTTGAGATTGCAGCCTTGATGGAGAATATACAGGAGTCAAAATTTCGCGTAAGATATATATATATATATATATATATATATATATATACCCTATTTTAATTAAATAATATTATTTAGAGTAGAATACAGTTTTTGTCCCTGAGAAATGAATATAGCTAATTTTTACAATTTAGGTCCCAAAAAGTTCTCTCTAGCAATTTAGATCCTTATTTGTAACATTTTTGGGACCAAAATTGCAAAAAATTGTCATTTTACTTAAGAATGGGCCAAATACGTTATAGGTATCTCAAATAAGAACCAAAGTTATAAACATGTAATTTAGTTTAATATTTTATTAAAGATTAAAATTTAAAAATGGTATTTGGGTGCAGCGGCGGAGGATCTGTTGAAGGTGCGGTGGACAAGCGGTGAATTGTTTTTGGCAATGTGAATGTGAATGTGAGGTGTGTAAAAACTAAAAAAGTAATAGAGAGAGTAAAAAGTAGGAGGTGAATCTATTATGGTGAAAACAAGTGTTAGAAAAAGGTTTACTTAGGAGTATAAGATCAAAGAGGAAACTGAAAGCAATACAATTTATGGAATGAGATCCGCTTATGGTTGACATCTTTAAATACTACTATACCACCATATATTTGGAGTCATGTTCTAAATCTATGATTTCTCAAAAATCACCTCATAAAACATAAAAGCATTCAAGATCACTCAAATTGGTGTATAAAACCCAAAGCATGGGTGCCCAATGTAATATATTTACAAATTTGGTGTGCATGCATATTCATTCATTAATAAATTCAAAAGATTGCTTTCATTTTGTTAGTGTAAACATATATATATATATATATATATAATATATTATATAGATATATATAGATAGATAATATAATATATATATATTTTGGAACCAGCAAAGGAAATTATATATAAAAACCAGCATAAGAAGAAGCTAGGCAAGGAAAAACAAACAACAAGGAGTACAAGTACAGGAAGAAGCGGACAATTACATCAATTTGCCCAAATAACAATTCCCCTTTTTCTCCTGTGTTTCACCCAGACGAAAACCGTTGATTGTATTATATCCTCCACCATAGTTGAGGCTATCTTCTTGTTGAACAACCTCTCATTCATCGCCTTCCAAATGCTCCAAAACATTCTGTGACAGATTGTAAGAAATAATCTTCGTTTCTTAGGGCAGTTACACCAGCCAGTCGCGAAATCAATAAGCCAGTCGCGAAATCAATAATCCCAGTCACGTTGGAGAAGTTGCAGTCATGGATACCACACCATTTAAAGATCCATTCTCGAACCCATTTCACGAAACTACAAGTTACCAAGATGCGATCAGCTGATTCTTCATAGTGTCCACATTGACCACAGTCAAAGGAAGGAAGAGGGATTCCACGGTGTTGAAAAGCCATAGCTGAAGGGATGCGTCCCATTTTAGCTCTCCACGTGAAGGAAGAAACTTTTTTCGGGACCTCATTTTGCCATACGAAAATTGTAAAGGATGAGGAAGCATCTCTGTCAATTTTTTTTCTTAGAGCTTCCAAAGTATAGTCCCCGTTTGGGTTTATTTCACTCAACCATGTCTTCGACCCCGCATTAGTTAATTTCTTTACAATACTAGAAGGTGGAATCCTGTGTTTTGCTAAGACTTTCTTAATACCTGCAACATTTTTCCACACACTTGTTAATGACAGATTGGCATAATAATCCATGGGTTTAGATTCAAGTTTGTGTATAGCTGTAATCGCGTGGCTCCACAACAGATAATGAGATTTCTGGCCACCACCACTTTGCGATTAACGCGATGTTTAAAGCTTTAATTGTGCCAACTCGTAGTTATCACTTTACTCCATGCCACCCAGTTTATTTTTGATTTCCCTTCAGACCCGCCCCACAAGAAATTTCGCCTTATCTTCTCCAACGTTTCAATAATTCCTGCGGGGGGCACAAATAAAGATAGAAAATAGGTAAGAAGATTCCACATAACAGAAGTGAGAAATGTAAGCCGACCCTCAAAAGAGAGATGTGGATTTTCACATGGATAATTTAGCAATGAATTTGTCAATAACCAGCTTCCAATATTTTTTGAGGTTCATGTTGGCACCCACTGGAACCCCGGGGTACGTGAATGGAAGAGCGGATGGTTCACACCCGAGAGGTCTAGCCCAAGATGTCGTTTCATTCATGGCAGCCCCAACACCAAAAACTCTGGATTTCGAAAAATTCACCTTGAGACCAGAGGATACCTGAAAACAACGAAGGATCCGAGCGATATTTTTAATATTCCTCTTTGACCACTCTCCAAGAAAGAGTGCATCATATGCTTATAGGAGACTAGTTGTGAGACTCATGTAATACATGAGTTAATTTTTAAAAAAAGTTAAATATAAATGTCAAAATATTTGAAAACTTTGACTTTATAAGAAAATAAGAAAAATAATGAATTATTATAATTGAATTGTTTTTTATCTTTTAAATTTAAACAAATAATTTAAATAAATAAACAAAAGAAACTAATGATCTTTAACTTAAGAAATTTGAAATTAAAAGGTAAGTTCATTAATGAAATTGATATCTATTTATTACTATATTTATTGCAATTATTACATTAAAATATTATTTTGAATTTAATAAAATAGAAAAACTCAAAATGATATGTGGAAAAAAAAATTAATTCAAAATAACCACAAAATGACATTTGGCAAATTGAATGAGATAGTGACATGCGGCAAAAAAAAACTTTCATTTATTAGATTAGATGAGAAATGATCGGGCCATTGTTAGGAAGTTGAACACCTTGAAAAATCCCTTTCATGAAAGCAGTTTTCATGGCTACACTGAGACCCTCCATGGCGATGATGAACAAGAAATGGGATAGATGATCTCCTTGCCTAACACCTTTAGACATGGTGAATTCTTTTGTTGGCGACTCGTTCATTATCACTGAAGCCCTTGCCGACTTCAGACATCCACCTATCCACATCCGTCATTTCTCTCCGAACCCCATCTGCACTAGAGATGAGTCAAGGAAATTCCAGTTAACTATGTCAAATGCTTTCTTGGAATCTACTTTATACAGTAAGATTTTGTTCTTGTATTTTTCGCCCAGACACATATTTCATTAACAATTAGTGGCCCGTCAAGTACACATAAATACTTAACTTAAACCATATTATTGAAACATCAATGTCCTTTGTTTATTGATCTTGATCTTCCTAAAACTAGCGTACTCAAAGCTTTAAATCAATGCTATGTCTTGATAGCCTAAAAGTCATATTATATACATGAACACATATTATATACATGTGTTCGACAAAAATGGTTGTAATATATTGTAATATATATATATATATATATATATATATATATATATATATATATATATATATATATATATATGAACCATAAAGAAGATAAAACTAACAAAAGCTACATGATTTTTTTTTTGGGTAATGACATTTTTGTTTTAAAATAAAAAGTTTCAAACTCGTAATTTCAAACTTCTATAATTCAAAATTTTTATTAAGAGTTTTCTAAGTTCTAAAAAGTCAATGTCAATTGTAAATTGTAAATTGTGAATATGTGATAAGCGTTTTAGCAACATAGCTCATGGGTCTTGGGCTCTTGGCCCATATTAGCACAACAATACATATGTGGTCCAATCAGTATAAGCTATTATAAGATCTTAAAGTTTATATTATATTTCCCAAATCCTTTCTTATAATGGTAGGGATGACAATGACACGGAATTAGTACCGATCCGAACTAACATTATCGGTATTGGTATGGGAATGCTATCGGTTTTCGGTACTAGCACCTGTACTGATAGTATCGAATCCTGAATTTCGTGATTTTAGAGTAGTGAGTATTGTCTTATATGTTTAAATTCGATATCGGTTCGATAGAGGTACAAGATCAAGATTTTGTACTAACTATTCATCCATAGATTATGGTTTTAAGAACTAAACATATGTATTTTATAATACAAACCGGCCGGTTGAACCGGTCGGATCGGGAACCGGAGACGAGAGCGGTTCAACAACAACCGGTTTTACGCTAAGTTCTAAACCGGATTGAACCATACATTTTTTTTTTCAAAAACCGGGTTGAACCTGTGTGATATAACCAATAAAAATTGTTTGAACTGGTTTATTAGATTCGGATAGTTGGATTTCACTTAGCCCATTAAAAAAATAGTCGATTTTCCAAAGAAAATTGAATAACTTCATCGATAAAGTTATCCAAAATATACATAACTCGAAGGCCGACGCACACCACTGTGAGATGTAGATAGAAGATTTAACATGTTGAACAGATGGTTGAACCGTCTAGATTCAACTAAAAATTTGATTTTTTAAAGATTGGTTAAAACTCTAAGAATTAGTTGGTGTTATAAAAACTAGAAATCAATAACATGAAATATTTTGCTTCTCTCCATAAAAAAAAGGTAACCAAAATGTTGTTAGATCCTTATTTTTCTAGTTAAAAGGGCTTTGATGGAAGAGGAAGACAACCATGGCTTTTAGAAGGATTATCATCTTAAAAGTAGCAATTACCTTTTTAAACTTTACACGACATCAACCACCATGCCAATATTTTTACTTAAGTGGAAGTCATTGTCTAATGAACCATTTAAGTGAATCATTGGACCATCGGTTTCACATAATTGCATTTGCACTTGCATGACCTGAATAACAATAAAAATACAATTAATTATACTGATGAAAAAAGTATTTTATATACCATTAACTTAAACCATTTTTCTTACTTTCAACTCGGATTAAGAGTATGTTTTGCAATGATTTAGAGTTTTAGAAATTTTTAGTATTTAACGATGATGATTCATCAATCATGGACGACTACACAAGAATCGATATAATTATTGATCTCCTCTACAATATTATGCTACAGTATCATAAAAGAAATTGGTAAACTATACGGTCTTTTGCCAAAATTCGATTATATAGTTGGTCTCATTCGTCACTGATCACCTCTTCTCACTTTCTTGGAAATTCGTTTGTGTTAGATTAAAGTGTCTAAACTCATAACTAAATTGATATATTATTGTAATTAGAAGCAAAATATTTTTTGGGTTACCCTCATAACTAGAACTTGATTAAAATGACATTTGTAGAGAGAGAGAGAGAGAGAGATGATTATTAGATTATTATATGATTAATAAACTAATTGGAAATTATGAGGAAATGATTTGTTAATATATTAATTGGAAATAGATAGTTGATTTGTTAATTTATCATTTGATTAATAAATTAAAATGAGATCAACTGTTAAAATAAATGATTTGTTAATTTATATGATTAATAAATTAATATGACATCACTTATATTAATCACAATTAATCTAGAATTAATTTAGGATCAATTGGAATTAATTAAAGGTGTAAGGTGTGAATTGTAAATGTTTATAGTTGAACAAGTAAAGACAATTTTAATGGGTTCTATTGGGTGAACAGTTTGTTGGGGGTTGGGGTGGGGGGTAGGTGTAACATCCCAAAAATACGACCCAAAAATTTCACTTGTAATTTAATAAATTCAGTATTTCAAAAACAACATCAACACAATCCCAGTG